CGGTCTTTGTTCCAACGGTGATGACGATGAAAGATCAACAGGGGACTTGGTATATAAGGCGGGTAAATCAGGGACACTGCGTCCCCTTTGCTTGCCATCCTTCTTCGCTTCCCGCTCAAGAATAACGCCATGTTTGGCTTTGCTGTGCATGGCAAGTCCATCGAAGGTGGAAAAACTTTTCCCGCAAGTAGGGCATTTTTCCTCAACATTAGCCCTCTGCCCAGTTTGTACGTTTGGCGTCAAATTTGAAAAACCCATGGCCATAGGAAATGCGCTGGTCTGGCATGAAGCATTTTGAGCAAAGGGACTAACCGCATCGGTTGCAGTAAATGGCGAACTTGCCTGCATTCCAGGTGCAGCAAAGGGTGATGCTACTGTAAACGGTGGCGCTTCAAAAGGCGTAGCGGCGGTGTCAGGTGTAGAAGTAAAGGGTGACGCCACCTGACCAATAAATGGTGAATTAGCCACCGCCGCTGTGAAGGGGGAGGCAACTTCTCCAGGAACAGAGATGTTCTGCTGCAATGGCTTTGCTGGAATGGTCTCCTTTGTTTGCTGCTGTTTGCCAAACATTGGCAATTGTCCAAATGGTGTAATTGGCGCCGTCACAGGCTCTTCCTTTGGCACCTGTTGTTGCGGCTGGAGAATCCTCGGCACCTCGCGATGCACTGTTGGGACTTTTGCGAACGGATTGTCCACCTTCCCTGCACGAAAAGGATTTAATGTTTGATCAGGTGCAGGGGCAAATGGACCCTTCAGGTCTACCTCTGTCAACGCGTGGTCTTTGACGTAGGACTCTGATGCCGCCCTTGCATCAATTTGATCCATGTTCTCGAAGGGGTTATCCCCTTCAGGAGTGACAGGCTCATAGAGAGGCTGCTCTGTAACATCAGGGCGTGCAGCAAACACCTTCATCACCATTGTACTGTGAACAAAACTCCCTTCCAGCCTGTTAAGACCAATTTTGTCCCACACACCGAGAAGCTCCGCCATGTCGGCATCTGGCACCCCGCGGTCGGGTTGATGAAGCGGCTTTGGTGTGGGCCTCATACGACGAGGACGGCGTTCCTCGTCATCCGTAAAATTCCTCTCAATGGGGCTCGAAGGCGGCGCTGAGGGAATGGCCGTGGGGGCGGTTTCAGCGCCGGGACCTGGGCCGGCCTCCACCGAGCCATCGCCCCCGTGTGCCTGTTGGAGGTGTAGCTTCGCCGCCATCTCCAGGCGAAAGGCTTTTTTGCAAACGCTACAGTGGAACTTTTTGTCCGAGGAAGATTGAAATCGTTCCTGGCAATTTAGCGCTGGTAAAAAAAAGTGGCTGCCATCGTTGAGACGCTTGACGCCGTAACGTGCCTTTGGAGCACACGCTAGCCATCTTGCGCCCACTCTGCGGGAGAACTTCGCCAGCGCCCCAGCGAGCAACAACCGACGCATCTTTTCTAAAATCACAAAAAAAAAAAAAAAAAAAAAAAACAGAACTCGCCAAAAAAAACAGAAACTAAAAACGTAATAAAAAACACTGGCACAAATCTCCTTCATGATGGTCTTCATAATTGGTTCATCTCCCGTCACAGTGTCCCAAGAAGAACAAGTGATCCAAACTGTTCAGAGACAAGCAGCTCCGTGTCCTCCACGTATGTGCCATGAATAGGAATAAACCTTGGCTTCTTGTACATTTTTGCTACAACATGCACAAGCGCACCCTCTTTCAATTCAGAGGTACTAAACTCAACAAAGGGGACACCTCTACACTTTAAGGTGAGCGTTTCTTGACTACACACCGCTTTCTGCTGTGGCAGAGGAAGGGCGGAAAAGCCACATTCCGTCAAGAGTAGGCGGCAGCTCCACAAGGGCTCCCCGAGAATTGATCCCCTGCAGGGCAAGTGCACAACACCGACACAACAGTGTGTTGCAAAATAGGACCAACGACAGAGCGGCGCTACCGGATGTGGCAACATTCAAACTTCTAAATGAGTAAAAAAATAAAATACATATACTAAAAAAAAAGCACGACTGCGAATAGCAACAGAAAACATCGGTGTCTTTAGCAGAGGCAGTGTTGTTACCTTCTCCCCGTCCCTCATCCCAAGGATTTTTCGTTCATTCAAATAAATAAGCACCCTTTTTTTTTTTTTTGTTCATCACTCTTGTTGTACTCACAACTTGTCACAATATCTCAAGAAAACTTCTTAGCATTTCTTTCCCTTTCACTTCAAGAGGTTGTCGCAAAGGGAAAAACAAAAATGTCTCGCCACCCATCCCGAAGGAGAATTTTTTTTTTCACACTGAAGGAATGAACAGAAAGGCCTCATGGCTTATGTGCCGTATATTCCTTCGCAAAAAGACGCGTTCTTTTATTGAGCTCGATACCGGTGATAAGCCGTTCGAAGCCTCATGGATAACTCATGAAACGCAGGCAAGAAAACGCTTCCCTCACTATCCAAAAGCACCACCGTCTGCTGAAGCTCGGGGGGAACAACAATGCCTCTTTCCCAGCAGTCAACTGGATCTGTGGCAAAGGGAAGTATATTATGCCTATATGCATTCATAAGAACCCTATCAGGGTGAATAGGGAGGTTGCGCAGCTGTTCCTTCTTCCTTTTCTGCCAAAAATCCAGGAATTGCTCCCGATACAGTTGTTCCTCAAGAAGGATTCTCTGTTTTTTCACTTTTTCCATCCTCAGTTTTTTCTCCCTGATCGTGCGTAACTCATTGGCAAACGCGATGGAGCGTTGTTTCCATAGTTTCATCACTATGCTCATTGCGTCCTGTTCCTTTTTCTCAATTCTGCGGCGCCGCATCACCTCCTCCTTCGGAAGTGAGTCGACGTATTCTTCCCTGTCAAGAGCGTGGGCGGTACCACTGTTTTGGTCCGTCTCCGTCAATCTCTGACGATACGCTCTGGCGAGGGCCACGACCCTTTCGTAGGACTCCTCAGGCAAATCGTGCCACGCGCTCGTTCCGCTGTAATCTGCGCAAAGGCGGTGAGTTTCCATGTCGCTCACTCACCTTCGAGCACAGGCACTTTCACGCAGACAAAACAAAAAGAAAAAAAGAAGGAAAGAAAAAGAGCCAGCACAGCCCATAAGACCTTAACAAGCTAGCCAATCACCCTGTCTCTCCTTGAGAAACCCAAAGCACCTTCGTCTTTCATCGCCAGAAAAACCCATTAAATAGATTTTAAAACGGGAAATGCTTGGCGAGTACAAACAAAAAATAAAATAAATAAAGCAATCCCTTCTTCATTCGCCCTAATAGTTACGATTACTTTTTCATAAATATATATATATATATATATATAATCTGTGCAGTTGCGCGTGTGTATATATATATATAGAAGAATCCCTCCACATAGTGGGGGACCGTCATTCAAAACCCAATCCGCAAGGTTTGAAGCGCACAAATATTAAATACACACACACAGAAATATATATATGCACAAACGCACACATCGAATAAGATGCATGTTCTCTATAGATCATCGTCATCCCCATTTTTTTCTTCTTCCCTCTTGACTTCTTCTGGGATCGGCACATCTTTTAAAGTTGAGCTGTGCTCATGAACGAACTTGTAAATCTCATAGAACGTACGGCCCCCATCATACATAATTGGCTTTCCTCCATGGGGAACAAAGTATATGGTCGGAAAACCAGAAACGTCAAAGAGAGAGTTGTCCATCTGGTTAGCAGTAGCGTCCATGGCGGCAATAATAACGTCCGAGGACTCAAATTCCTTCGCCACCTTCGCGTAAATTGGAGCCAAATTCTTGCAGTGCCCACACCACGGAGCAAAAAACTCGATCAACATGTCTTTTCCAGATGAAAGGTACTTGTCCAATGTCTTCCCTACAACTGTGGTCAGCCCCTCAACGGTTTCAATTTCAGGGACGGGCTGAGATTTAATTTCTGGAGATAATTTCTTTTCGGAGTATTCGATAATAAATTTTTCAATGCTCTCTGCAGTTACCGGTTCCGTAGATGGATGAACAAAGTGGTCCTCACCTCGAGCAATCACAAAAGCAGGGTATTTTGCATCATCTGATAAACCAAGACTAGAAGCCACCCCATACTGTTCCGCATCTACCCAAAGGAGCACCATAAGACGGCGCATTTTCTTTCCCACATCCAGAAGCTTGGATTTCAGCTCCTTCGATTCCTCCTCGCTCGGTTTCAATAGAACCCATGCCACCGGCCCTGATATTCCAGCGTAATCCAAGTAAGTGTTGGGGTTGATCTCCCCCATAAATGGGATAAAAGCAACCTCAAGAAAAGATTTTAGATCCGCTGTTTCCATTGCCCCATCAAAGACCTCCTTTTCCCCACCCTTTCTGAAAACAATAATGGATTCTGGTTTCTCATCGGGAAGAATATTTGAATCTGTAATAACCACAAACTTCATTTTCATCCGTAGGCCCTCTGCAGAAGTCGCTAGCGTTTTCGAGAGTGTGGATTCCATGTCCGAGGTCACTCCCACACATACAGCATTATGCTCTTCCCTTAATTTTTCCAATTCTTCAGCAGTCTCAACATGGACAACTGCAGTTCCAAGGTTTGCCTTCACGTAGTTTACAATATCACTACTTTTGCGACCACCTTTGTAATGTTCCACCTCCTTGCCGTCACGAAAGAGAATAATTGTGGGGAACCCTTTAATGGAGTACTTCTGGGCCAAATTGCTTTCCTTGGTGCAATCGACATCCACCATGACCGCCCCGCTAGGAATCTCTTTGGCCGCCTTCTCCCACTCCGGCGCAAGTTTCTGACAGTGCCCGCACCATGGAGCATAGAACTTCACAAGCGCAATCTCACCACTTGAAATGACGTCGTCAAAATCTTTATCGGTGGCTTCCACAACCTCACTTCCCTCCGCCCGAAGCGAGCAAAAAAAAAGGGCAACAAAAAAAATGAAATGTATCATAATTGTGTATCCCTTTTTTCTTAAAAGAAGTTTGACGCTTGTCTGAAAAAAATAACGAGTAGAAGATGAGACACAATAATATTCGCCTGGGCTGCTAGTTATATGCTGGACTTATTTATAAAAAACGAAACAGAGTAAGAAAAAAAGAATATATATATATATATATATATATATATATAAAGCGGGGTTTACTACATACTGAAGGTTTAACAGAACGTAGGTGTATATTTATAACATAAGTGAAAGACTTTGGTTTCCTTCCAGCCAAAAGACCCCGCCGTTCCCCTTCGCCAATTCCACCTCTTCGCCAAGTTCTGAAGTGTAAACACACGACCGCGTGTCATGCCGTCTGCGGGGTTTTCTGCAGACCGCACGTAGACAAAGGATGCCTGTATTCCGCGAGAGTCCAAAAATTCATATATCCGTTGTAGCTCCCACGTCATGGCGTGTTATTTTGAGCTGCCTTTATTCGCCGCTCCTTGCAGCGAAGTATTTTTCACCCAAACGTCAGTGGTGGATGGCAAGATGGCGGAAAAGGCCGATAAGGCTAAGCGTACCGCGCGTGCCTCGGCCTGCATGATAAGAAAACGTTTCCTCTCCCATTTTCCTCCGGCAATTTTAACGTCGCCGGAGTCTGGAATAAAAACGGCTCACCATCCATGGAGCGACACATCAGTGATGCTGGCGGCCGACGCCTTTTCTGTGGGCTTGATGATTCACCCACAATTATTCTCGATGATGTGTCGTAGTCTCTCGCCCAAACCAGCCGCTGCCGGCGGAAGGTTCGCCGGGGATGTCTCCTGCACAATCCCCCGGCTAACTGCCGATAATCGCCGTCGCACTGCCTTTCTGAAAACGCAATGGTCATATAAACGCGTGCACTAAATGGCCGCCAAATATAAAAAGCGTGACGCCATAACCTCCACTCCCGCGATGGTCAAAGAATTGAGCGCCGGCATGGCGCATACAGACCGGACAAATTCTCACTCAGGGATACCGCACGGTGTGTCTGAGATCAAAATGCACCCCCAGGAAGATGTACTGCGTGGCGCCCGATTCGCGGTCCTCCCCTATCGTGGCGTGACGGCCGTCCGCATTACGAAGCACTTGGGCTTCCCACAATGTCGCATCGCTCTTCGACACCGCAATGTGTATATTACCGATCCAAACGTCGACACGCACCAATGGAGGTGCAGCCCAGAGGGGGTGAACCACCGTCGTCACCCCGCAATTGCCGAAGTAATAATCTGGAGAATTTCTGGGCTGGCCTTGTATCCCATTGGGAGCCGTGTCAGCTCCACCAGCGTGCCGTCCTCCACGCGGCATCTCTTTCGATGCCGAGCCTCCCGCGGTAAAAAGACTTTAAAAAAGGATGCCTTCACATCCAGGCAGAAAGTGGCCTCAGCCATCACAGGCGGCAAATAATGGGAAATGTGTAAAAGAGGAACATTCGCCTCATAAGGGTCGTCTCTGTTCTTGTCGCGTGGCCACGCGATCCATCGTCGTCGTAAACCGGTGGTTTTCTCCTCCACAACCAAAAGCTATTATCCATCCGCCTGTTATTGTGGACGAAGCGTCCTCGATAATTCCCGCTTCCTTTGACAATCGCGCGTCATAGACTGGAATCCTCCGTGAGCCTTCGCGCGCTTTACCGGAGGAGGGCAGAGGGAAAGGGGACCGCCCGACGAGTCCCCAAACTTGCATAAGTCTCTCCAAGGTAGCCGGGTTCAACCGGCTCATGATCCACTTTGGTATTCAATACGGGCACGTTGACTTGCTGTAACGGGATAGCGTGTTCATCTTGTGGAGTGGTCAGACGCGTCCTTTTCGCGCTTCTCGTTATTGTAGCAGCATGATTGTGATTAAAATCATGAGAAATGCTCCTCTGCCCTCAACCAGGGTTCCTGCCCTTCCGCAGTTTCTCCCTTCACATCAATGCGGCCAGCAACGACACCTGGGTCAGCATTGTGGTGTACTTCCACAGATATCGAACAGTATTCTGGGGAAGGTCGAACGGGTCGACGTGCTTCGTCAACTTCGAGATCACGTGTGGGTCAAACTGTATGTATCCACGATTTGAGCAGCGTGCCGCAACGCACCGCGTTTTGTGGAATGCGCCGTGGCATTCCAAGGAGCCAGAGCTCGTTCGACTTTGGAATTAGTAATATTCGTGAGCTTTTCGTTTTCTTGAAGTGTCCTGCATAGCTTTATAGTGTCGAAGGCGTCCTGCCCTTGTGCCCTGACGAACCGCGAGGCGAGGTGGGGATCCGCCCTCGCCGTCTTCGGCGCCACGGACCAATCCAAAATTAAGGTCCCGTCCGCCTCCATTATAAAATTTTTGGGGGTTAAGGCCGCAATCTCGGACCAACGACTCGCCGTTATCCACACAAGTCGAAAAACAACACTTTGCTTCCAATCGGTCCGGCTGCGGATACATTGATCCATCCCTTCCTTTGTCGATGAGTGCGCCTGCTTCGTCTCCGATCGCGCCGCAATTTCTTGCAACCCCAGAATCATCATTTCCAGCGGGGTTCAATTCATTTCCAACATAGACCGCAACATCCTGGCGTACTGCCGTCGGGTCGATGGCGCCACGTCTAATATTGCCGCCAAAAAGGGCCGCGCAGCTCTCCTCGTTCATCGTGCGTTCGTGCGTGCGGCAAAATTTTGAGACTTGCCCCGCTAGGGACATTCTCCGCTTCCACGTCGGCGGCGCCCACATTTCTCAAGCGACCTCGTTCGCCCTCCTGCGGCTTGTCCGAAGCGGGGATGTCGGTGTTTCGTCGTACCACAGTCGAGCGCCGTTTACGGATAAGCTCCATTGCCCTTCCCGACGATTGCGTCGGGCAATTTGAAATATCGTGTGGAGTGTCGGCGGTGCGGTGCGACGTCTGTGCGAAATGTTGGGAGGCGGTGGATCGGATGGGGCTGCCGTCGTCCGTCCTCATAGGCAGCGGGCGGCCCCTTTGCCGTTTTTTAACTGCCGTCCGTGCTGTGAGTAATTCTCTCTGGGGCGCGTTTCGGACGTTGCTTTTAGATGTGACGTGCCCATCAACATGACATAACTGGCATCGAAACGATATTTGCGCACCTCGCCGTTACACGGGAGGCCGGATTGCCCTCGCAAAGGCGTCGGCCTCATGAACGGCAGTGCAAGGACGGGCGCGAACGTTGAAGAGCGGGATGCCGGGGTCGGATGGCATCGTGAGCTGCATTCGGGATGCATGCAGTAGGATCCTGCCAAAGTACATAAACTGATCGGTGGAATCCCGCTCCGCTTCCACCGCGCCGATCCACGCAGCCAAACTGTCGAAGGAAAGTTGAGCCTGGTCGTCCGCCCGTTGCCAATAATTGTATGCGCCCCGGAGGTTGAAAACGACTCCGGGAACGCCCTCATCCCATATACGCCGGGCCCAAGTAGTGACGTCGAATGCGCGAAACATTCGTCCCTCTTCTTCCGTAGCGGAACGATCGTCCAAAGAGAAGTGCGGGAGGGCAAAGGCATCGAGGGATAGAAATGTGGTCACCCGAAATTGCCCTGAGACGTCTGAGGGATAACCTGCCGTCTCTCTCGCGCCGGAGTTCGTTTGGCCGTGCGTGACGACGCGCCCCCGACCATCAAGCGACGCTTTCGAAGTAGTTGTTTGGTATCGCCATCTTCGGCCGTATTTTCACGCGTGACAAGTCAATCGGTCGGACCTCTCCGAGTGGTAGAAACTTCTTCCCGGCCTGCCGTCTCCGCCTCCCACGCGGCTCGCCGCGCCTCTTTAGCACTAACGCGTGCCTCTCGCTCCTGTGGTTGGGCGCGGGTCGCCTCCAACTGCTATTCGCGTCCAGAAAGCGCGCGCTCTCGTTCTGCAAGAAGGCCGCCGGAGACCGCAATGTGAGATTCGCATGCCGATAGTTTGTTATGCTTCTCCTCAACCTGCGAGTTAAGCTGAGCATTTCGATTCCGCACGTCCGCGATGGCGTGGGCATAGTCAGTGCTCGATCGCTCCCTTTCAGAAATGAGGAGCCCTTTTTGGTGCCCCAACTCCCGGGCCGCACCCACACGATGGGCAGGAGCGCTTGTGTCTCGAAATTAGGAATCTGAGGCGCCCGGAGATTCGCAACATGTCCTGTAAGGCTCGAATCCTCCCGGGGTTTGGCGATGTTTTCCGAAAACAAGCGTAAGCCTGTCATCGGGGTGGCGACAGTTAACGTCGCATCCGACGGCCCGCTTTAATAAGGGTGAGCTGCACCTGCATATCACCATAGGAGCGCCATTTTTGCGTCACTCCGTCGCCGTGTAAAAGGAGTCACTGCCATTACTTTAAACCAACAGGCATGTGTCAGGTCTGGCTGTCAAAAAAAAAAAAAAAAAAAAAAAAAAAAGAGGAATGGATGCAACTGGCAGCTTGACCACTGTGCATTTTTTGCCAAGACGCTACAAAATACAGAATACAATATGCACAGAATGAAACAACAAGAGCAATACGCCCTTCCTTTCTCCATGGAAAAGAAATTCCCAAAGAAAAATAATACATATATATATATATATATATTTATAACAAAAATAATAACACTAATAAAAAAAAATTCCAGCTGGGAAAGAAATAAGCACGTCATATTCATGGAGACTTCCGGCGTCACGCCTCAAGTGTCACGGCCAATGAGTCGCATAAGGACTTCAGTTTCCGGTTTTCACCTTCAAGTTTGTGACTTTCGTATTGCTGGACTTGAATCTCACGTTTAAGATCCCTCAACTTCAGCGCATGTTTTTCCATGTCTGTATTTATGTTCGCTCTCAGTTCCTCTATGAGTCGCTGTAATTTCGTCCGCTTGGCCTCAAACAACTTTAATTGTTCACGAAGATGGTCCTTTTCCTCCTCAACACCGGCAGTTGTGCGAAGAGCATCATTCGCGGAAATGGCAACCTCTCGTTTAGAATCCCCACCCTGAACGGAGTCTGAGGAATATTTGGTGTCACGAAGTACATCCCATAGGCGCTGATTCGCAGC